GGCTCCTTTCCTATCTCCTTTGATTTTCCCCCTAAGATTTTAGCTGTTTATTTTTCCGTTGTGTTTTAGGGATCTGGAAGTAATGTTGATCTTTGTGTGATCACCAAAGAAGGCACAGAGTATCTGCGGCCATATGACGTGGCTAATGCAAAGGGTATAAGGCAAGGGCGCTACTCTTACAAGAGAGGCACAACAGGTCAGTGGTGGTCATCCCCCTCTCACTCCTTAGTGTGCCCCAAAGACACAAGAATAGAAAAAATCCACTTATAACATGTTGAAAAAAAGTGGCACCTTAGAAAAGGGGCAGGAAGGAATGGAAAAGGACACTCAAAGGGTTTCATTTGAATGTTCGTTAACACCTTTTCATCCACACAATACATATAAAAAAATAGTTCCCTGTGGAGGTAGTATTTGCATGGTCACTCCATAGGATTTCACCCGCAGGATTAGTAAATAAAACCATGTACATGTGTATCATGATGTTGCCTTAAAGGTTCTGTTCGAGGGTTGCTTGCCCCATAAATGTTCTTGCAACTAAGTGCACAAAAAATAGCCAAGTGTTGCAGCCCCTGAAATGAACTTGTTGCAGTAAGAGTTACAGAAGATATAAATACACAACTTATGCAGTTACGAAAAGAAAGCCTGATAATATTCAGGCTTTCTAGGATGCAAACCCTGACCTCTGTGATACTGAGAATTTTATTTTTTGGAGGCTTTCTCTTGGCAACTGCATAAATTGCATATTTAACTCTGATCTTTTCTGCATTTATTTGGTCCTTCTGCAGTCCAAATATATGAAACTCATATATTCATCATTGAAAAAATTGTAATAATAATAAATTATTAATGTATGTTCTTTATATTTGCACAGCTGTCCTCACTAAAGATATCAAACCCTTTGTGGTAGATGTCACCGAGACGAGAGGAGAGGCGATGGAGATGTAAAATTCATTTCTGGCGTTTGTCTCTTGATAGTCTGTACTTGTAAACAGTTCACTATAGAGTGTTTAAGTCAACGTAGACAAAAGATCAAGAACTTTTACCTTCCAATGATACCATGTAACTTGCATGTAAGAAAAACAATAAAAGTTTGTTTCAAAGGAGAAATGATTGTTATTACTATCTTAGTAGATCTTATACGCTAAAAACCCAACAAAAAGACCAAAAAATGACCAAAATGGTTCCTTAGAAGAATACAGTCAAACCTTCCTTTACAGACACCGGCTTGATGTGGACACCTCATAACTACAGACAGTTTGCTTTGTCTCTGGGGAAAGAAAGCCCTTACATTTTCTGTGAATTCAATCTCAAATATGGACACTTTCTATGACCCCCTCAGTGTCTGTATTAACGGCATTGGACTGTATGGTGATTCTTAGATACATTTTAGTGCCAAACCATATTGGGCCAAATTTCAGCCCAGAGATTCCTGATCGGCAGTTTTTTATACAGTCAAAACTCCACTCCACTAACTCTTGTTTCAACCTCTCTACAATGGCCACTTTCTGCTGTCCCCAAGATCGTCGTTGCAGAGAAGTTCAACTGTATGTAGGTAACATAAATCGTGTGTGTAGTTGTTTGGAATGAAACTGTATACATTAACAGGAGACACTCGTGTTAACATAAAATCTGCTGAGGATTTATTTACCTTAAATTAAGGTCTGTACACACCACAAACAAATACATAATACGGTGTACACCGATATCCACTTAGCCTGTGAAGGAGATCTCTGGAGCACTCAGACAGTGAGGCAAAAAGGGAGGGAGAGCTTGCAGTCATGCCTCGGGAATTTGAATATCTGCTTTTTGCCCCACCACCAGTGCACCACAGAGAGCCTGCTCGCAGGCTAATATCCACTCATTGTAGGACAAGGTGCAAAATTTTATTCTAAAATAGGTTTCTCTTAAACATCTCTATTAAACACACTTACATGCTGGACAGAGAATTAATAGATGTTTCAACAATTCATTGTACATGTTGTATTCTAACAGTTTGTTAAAACTACTCTCTCTGACCTTTGTCAGGCCCTACTTGAAAACAAGCTGAAAATTTTCTCAAGTTGAGCGATGCAATGGATGCAGACACTTTCAAATGAAAAAAGGATTTCCTTCCATGAGAAGGAAGTGAAAAATCCCATAAGCATTAGTTGGTCACCATGTTGAAGAGTATCCAAAAATAATGATACTGTTTGAGGAATATTGACACTCTAATATCAGAAGTATCAATCAAGGTGTCCCTTACTAAAGCTTTACTAAAATCTAATTTGCTTCAAATCTCAACGACTGAGCACACTTATAATTGGACTTCTTACTGCCTGCAGCAAAGAGAATTCAAAATGACATTTTAAAATTTTTGGCAAATAAAGGATAGCTGATGACAGAGGTTTTTCCCAACCACAAAGAGTGGACAGCAACAGCAATGAAAAAAGGAGATGTCTGAAAGCAAGCTACGAAAACATCGCTTAAAAAGGGAAATTTGCCTTCTTTCAATCTTCATTGCAATTTATCCAATTCACTATGTCGCATGTAGGCAAACTCTCTTGGATTTAAATTCCTTAGAAGCATATCCAAGTTTATGTCCTCCAAAAAACAAGAAATTAGGGGTTCAGCATGTAGTCATGTAGTGACGGCAAGGAATGTATAAAACAAGTGTACAGTATGTGCAAAGTTGTTGTTTTGCCTATCAAAGCTATGCCTCATTTTAAAGTCCTTGTTGCCGTTGTCGGATCTTAAGGTCCCAGGGTGCAAAGAAAAGTCAGTTTTACAGCTTGCCATTCAGGCAAGCTGCAGCTAGAATGTACTAGACTAAGAGTCACTTTATATAGCACGAAAACATTTTTTTGATGACTAGGATTGATTACAGTGGATTCCCCCCAAACAACTTTCACTGCCTGTCAGGCAAGTTGAGAACAGAATTCACTAGCCCAGTAGCAAAGTCCACTAGCCCCAGGCTATCGGACACCACTTTCTTTGCATGCTGGGTCCCCACTTATGAAGGTTAGCCTCTGTTGCAGCTGGTCAGCCAAGACATTGTCTACACCAGACGGTGTAGAGTGCCGGCAACCCAGGCTAATGAATGTCAATAGCACCTGGCCAATTAGCCTGTGCCACAGAAGAAAACTAAACCTCTGATTAAGTCTGTCTGTGAAACAGTGCCAAAATTCTTGTTCTGGGTCCCCACCTGTGTACCATGATTTGAAAATGCACTATAAATGGTCTGTTAAAAAAGCCATTGTCAATATCCCGAAAGGAATCAGGTTGAAAGGAAATTTGAAACACACTTCCAGTAATTCGTTGAGGCAGCTGGGGGCCCAGAAAAGGGATCTGAGAGCTACTTCACAGACATTACTAATTCACAATTTATTCCTCCTCGAGCTCAAATGGGGTATGAGTCAATAGCCCATGAGGGCGAGAGGAATAGTTGTTTTAGTAAAATCCATTCGCAAATAGTTGGTCAAAAATATCGAAACAAAACAACTTTAGCTAACAAAACGCGATTCAGCCGCTTTGGTTTTCAAAGCCAGCGCTTTTTGCTACAAGTGGGCTATAACAAAATTATAGCCTAGTGGTAGCTCAACCAATCAGAATCCAGCACTGATAACAGACCACTAAATGGGTTTTACTCATCGGGGTTAGATTACATCTGCAATGCAGGCTTCTAGCTAATGAGAGAATGAAAATACTATTTTACACTAACACTATCACAGTGATTTACTTATTTCTGTTCATGATTTCACTCTAAAAAATTAATGTAGTAAGAGATGACACAAAATAATGACTACATTGCAACTCTTTTAGGGCCGGCATAAAGTCGAAATAGCCTATTATTGGAAGTCAGGGGTGGATCCAGGATTTTTCTTAGCAGGGGGTGCACCACTAAGGACTGGCGTAACTGACTGGTGATGCAAACAAATTTTAATACAGAATACCAGTTGTATTAGAATGCCGCAGGTCATCTCGGGGAAGTGGGGTGCGCACCGCTGCAACCTCCCCCTAGATCCACCCTGCAAAGCCTTGCAAACTTCTCGACACCATAGTGACAGTGACTCGATCCACTTTACCAGTTTTTCAACCAAGTCTCCTACCCAAGGTTTTGAAAAAGTGAGTACACAGAGGATTTCTCCAGGAGTCTCCATCAATTTTGTTCCACGATGTCTTGCCTAACAATATTTTAACGGCACCACTGTATGCCTCAATTTCAAGCTCTACTTAATAAATTAGTCAGTGTGCTACTCCCAGGGAGTGAGGGGGTACTGCTGAAGTTAAAGTCACATGTTGATCATCAAAGGATTCTATTTTTCATTTTTTGGGGTGCCTTAAAGTCAAGTAGGGATTTTTGGGGGGTAAACATTCACAACAATCTGGAGATTAATGGCATAGCAGCGAGTGGGTATGTTCGCAGCGTAGTTCTATACTACCAAATGAGAAACGATAAGTACAATGAAAAAACAATCAACAAAATTCACCTTTCATTTGGGGGGATGCTATATCATTTAATCACTGAAAATTATTGATGCTTGTAAAATTGGCATAAGATTTTGGGGCATTAATTCTTGGTCCAGGGATATCTTACTTTTATATTTTGTCACTGCCTTGTCCCCAGTCACTCCCGATCACTTTTTTGGGGATACTGGAGTTAATTATTAAGGAAAGTGGGGACGAAGGGACCCAGATACACTCAGCGCTCGTTTCCCATAATACCCATCTCGCGCTTCTCGTTTGTCTTCAGTTCTCACACTTCTCACTTGTTCCATGCTCCCCACTAAGCCATGGGAAGGCCTATAGAGAAGACAGGTTTTGTTGGTTGTGAAGCCCTAAGGATTTTTTTTGGTTTTGACTTTTGCGCCCTTTTAATCATTCCCGTCACTTTAATTCTGGAGTACTCCCCTGGGATGCTGCATCACTTTCCAACTACAACTTTTGTACAATTTAAATTAATTTTTAAGAAGGGTCACCAGTGACCATGTTGCTTTCAACTTCAATCAGATCTACAGCACAAGTTAGCGGAGATGGAGAGCATGCATCTCTTTTGCCTTTTCATTGACGTAGTTGATGTCAGGTCTCTTATCTGGATCAGAATTTATGCAGATACAGACCAAGTCACGCAACTGTTGGAAGAAAATCAGAGCTTCAAGCTACAATCTTTGACAACAATGTTATTCTGAGAAAAATGGACATTGCTATAGATGTCTAGTTTCAAGATAAAGCTCTGGAAAGCACTGGCAACTACAAATCCCCCACTCCCCTTCCCCCTAAAACAATGTTGAAGTCTGGCTGGACCATTTCTGACCTTGACTGGACAACATTGACCAGGGTGGTGCTAGGGGAGGGGCCATAGTGGTATCAAATAATCAGGATGAGCATTCTGTTGGTAAGAAAGTGCAAAATTTTTAACACTTTTTGTCCAAGATATTGTAGGTTTAGGCTGACACAATGTACCAGAAAGATAACTCAAAAAAATAAACGAGTGATCGTTACAAGCTCTCCTTTCTCTCCCCCGCCCCTTCTTTTGCATCCCTGCTGGTGTGCCTCTCGCGCGTCTACTTTTCACGATGTCCCCCAATGAAGAGCTTGCTTGCAGGCTAACCCCACAAACATTGAGGCAGCTATTGGAGGAAAAACCTCTCGTGAATGATTTTGGAAGAACAGTTCCCAGTGCCAAGAAATACGGCTGCCAGTAAAATAGGTAATGGCATCATTTTGTTGCTATGACAACAGATGTCATTGTCATCTTGATCTAATACAATTGCGGTGGTTATTTTTCCAAATCTTTGTTGATAGCAAGGTAGTTTATACTCAAACTTGGGTGGTATTGACCCTGAAAAACCCTATCAAGCCACCTTAATTAACTGTGACTGTCGGAGTTTGCCCCTTTCACACAACCAAAAATGCCACAGATTGGTACTCGTTTAGAGGAGGGGGCAATCAGGTCATAGGCTCCAAAGATCTGGAGTTTAAAGAAACAGAACATTTCAATTTTATCCAAAGCAGTGCTCGGAAAAAAGGCCCCACTGGGCTCACTTGTCCAATGGTGAAGCAGGGCTCCAAAAAAGTGCCAACCAGTAAATTTTTTCGCTGGGCAAGTAATTTTTAAAGCTTACTTGGCCAATGTACCAGGGTCAAGGCAAGTCATCCTCTGACAAAATCATTTATGAAAACTAGCAAGAAGTAGCCTCGAGCAAGGAAAATGTGAAAGCTTCTTGCCGGGCAAAGGACAAATGAAATTCAAGTTTTTTTCAGGCCCTAGGAAGGGTACATATACTAGGCAAGTCATCCTACGACTAATCATTAACTAAACAAGTTAAGTATGTTGCCTGGGGCAAGCGAAATCCAAGAGTTGCTTGTCCAAAGGACACAATTATTTTTCTGCCACCTATTTCATGTAAAGTAGTCTTTTATCACACCCCTTTCACCATGTTGATTCAACATGGCAAAAGAATAATTATAAAGTAGCTTCCATGACCATTGTTAACAAAACAAATATTTTTCTCAATAATATATAAAATTATACCTCTTGCGAATAATGCTCAGCTGGTAGAGGTGGATAATCGCAGTTTTCTATCTTCTTACATAATGAATACAGATTCATTTTATCTCCATAGAAAGGTGATTGAAGTGCTGCCATCTGTTAACATGGGTATAGAGACAAAAAAGTCATAAAATTAAACTCTTGTAAATGACCATGCATCTACTATTCTTTCACAGTAATAATAAAAATTTATTAATTACAAATTTATAATGCACCTTCTCCATGTAAATGGGCAATTCCAGAAAATATCCATACCCAACCATGGACGGCTTCCATGTTTTATCCCCCCCTTGCCTTCGGAAATTCCAAAATGCGTTACCCCCCCATGCCCTCAGAATTCCATAATCGTGAACCCCCCCTCCCCTTCAGAATTTCCGTTTTTTTGGAAGTACATTTTCAACTTAGCAACGCCTATAATAATGAACAAACGAACATGACGTTATGCCTCCTCAAGGCTGTGATCTAGCGACGCCAGGCGACAAGCTTTCAGACTCTAACCTACCGCTAGTAGACAGGCTGTGCAAACTCCTTTTTAGGTCCGAATTTGGCAATAAAAATAAACACCACTAACGGCAATTTTTCTCCTCTTTGTTTTCTTGTGCTGTTTTGACGTTTACAAAGCAAAATAGCTCAAATTCAGACCGTCAAAATCTTTCGGTGGTCAAAATATACCGTCGAGGCGTGTTGCGTCCTTTTATACGTCATGTAGTGTGCACGAAAAGTGTTCTAATCTGACAGGCGTTCCTTGGAAGCCAGGGACTGTTGCGAGCTTTTTAGCTGTTCATCGGACGGGAGTAACAAGAAACTTGCAAGCAGTAAGATACATATTCAGTTTTTTTTCATGTGACAAGAAATTCATCAAGGTTAATGTGAAACCCACGTTTTACTGTTCACTTCTATAAGTTATGAGCGTAAACACGTGTCTGATCTATCGATGCTTGTCTTCTGCTTCCGCGGTCATACGTTCGTGGTTTATTTACGAACTACAAAAGTCCACAACAATAGCGTTTTCAAGGAACTCACTCTACACTTTCTACTCCAGAAATCCCACCTACGGAATTCCGCCATGCCTTCGAATTTCCAATCGTAAATACCCCCCATGCCCTCAGAATTCCATAATCGTGAACCCCCCCTCCCCTTGGGAAATCCTAAAAGCCGTCCGTGGTATGGTATGGATATTTTCTGGAATCGCCCAATATGATCAGGGAACCTGAACACTGTATTTCACTAGCTATTTCATAATGCATTCTTATTTACTTATGTTATGTTGAGTCTTTATGAGTCATTTTGGAAGCAATTTGAATCAGATCAAAGATAGTTTACCTTGCCGGTTTCAAATGTTTCTTGTCTGGCATGTTGGGCATAGGATGCAACAGTTACATCTCGAGTTTCCCATTAGGAAAGAAGAGAGGAGACAAAATAGGCTCTCTCTATTCTTTTCTCTTGACTGTTAAATTACATTAATGAATTTATTATTCGAAAGTTGAATGCATTGGTAGTTGTAGATTTCAGATTCATCTCTGCATTCTTGCATGCGTAATGAGCCACGAGAAGTTCTTGTAAAATATTCACTGCTCATTACGCATGCAGGAATGCTGATTTGAATTTGACACTAATTACGGGAACGACTAACAGATTCATTTTTCAAACATCCAATTCATTAATAGATCATTAGGGGGTACACTTGACCTGCCGTGACTGTAAACCACTGTCTCCCACTTGGAGATTTAAGAATAACAGAAACTTGAGACATAACTGTCACATGTCAGACAAGACTTAATATTTGAAACCTGAGCAAGGTAAATTGCCTTCAAAACCCTTCCAAAACGTAAGTTTAAAAAACTGCTTATGATAATAGCTAATACAGTGTTCAGGTTCCCTGTCGCATTTTCAAAGGTCACAAAAATAAGGGAATTGGTTAATCAGCTTGTACCTCAACTGGACAGTAGCTTATGCAACAGAATGACCAAACGTTTGTGCGTGACAAACGTGACTGTAATATTACTTGCGTGATTTATCATGGTCTATTACAGAGTTGTGGTGTTTTACAAAAAGATCTGTATAAACTTACAGTAGGTATCGTTTCCATTTGTAAGGTGGACCTTTCATTAGTATTAATAATTACCTCATATAAGAGACAGCCTAAAGACCATATATCTGACTTGAAGTTGTATCCAGTTTCATGTATTCTCTCTGGTGACATGTAGTAAGGTGTACCAACTAAAGAAGGCAAAGTAAGAAAATCACTTTAATTCTGTTTATATCTAAAATATATCCTCTTAATATTCTACAATCTATACGTTGTGGTTCAATTTTACCCTTGGTTTAAATTTTATTTCCCTTATTACCATACCCCAAAACAAAGGTAAATAAAATTTAAACCAAGCATAAAAGTGAGACACAATATATTCACTGAACAGTGAAGATATGTTTGTAAAAAAACGATGATTCACCAAGTTAAGGCAACTCTCTGAAAAGAACTAAGCAAGGGATGAAAAATAATAGGAAATAAGCAAGGGGAGCAAGGGATGTGGTGAGAGCGCTCACCTCCCACCAATGTGGCCCGGGTTCAAATCCCGGCATCGACCCCATATGTGGGTTAAGTTTGTTGTTGGTTCTCTCCTTTGCTCTGAGAGGTTTTTCTCCAGGTACTCCGGTTTTCCCCTCTCCTCAAAAACTAACATTTTCAAATTCCAATTCGACCAGGATTCAGGTAAACAAAGAACCACTCTGTGGATGTGCTACCTCCTAATCATTATTTATTTAATCAGTTTATTTAATGCATATGCCCAAAGGGCCAACCTCTCAATCATTAATTTTACAAGCTAAAAACCTTGGTGCAAAGGAAGGATTTCCTCTTAAAACCAGAGGGGAAAAACGTAATGTTTAGAGGGCCACTTAGCTTCCTGCTAGGGCACATTACAGCCCCATTTACAAACTCATGGGTTATCACTGAACTTAATTAAGGGTGATACACTATAGATTTACCCACGTGGGTAAGAAAAAATGGAAGAAATTAAGGGGTAATTATAGCAGGGGATGAACGCTGGAAAGTTGAAAGGAAAGAACTAAGGGCCTGTTTATACGAAGTTAGCCAGCCCTGTTAGCTGGGCTGGCCAAGGGAGGTAGGGGAGGCAGGGTTAAAACTTCATTATTAAAGAATTCTAGTAGGAGGGGAAAGGTGTAATGTTACGGCAGATTACTTTCAAAAAGGCTCCAAGTCTGAATAAAAAAATAGTCATAGACTACTGAACATTAGCCAAGAATGAGAGAATTCTCCAAGCTCTGATGCCTAATAAACACCCTGGGAGTAACATACACTGTACTCTGTGGATTCAAAATGACTGTGAGGCCAAGTGGAAAAACTTAAGCAACTAGCTTGTCCAAAACATTACCAAGAGAATGAGCTGCTGTAGTTTTAGAACTAAAAAATCTGCCAAGTCCCAAGTCCCCAAGTTTGACTACACCAGATGCTGTTATGAACACATTTGCAGGCTTGATGTCTGAAAATAAATATTATTAGTATTTACCAAATCAATGAATAGCAATTTGTGCACATTTTGATTGGCTCCTGTAACTTGGGATATCCTTGGCTATTCCTTGGGGGCAGAGAGATTGGGGAAAGGGGAAGCATCGTGGAAATGCCCCAGTTAAAAATAATACCTATCTTTTCTCGTTTCAAAAGGGTAACTTGCTTTTTTACATTCATAATTGGTGGAATTGATGGTACCATTCTTCCTTTTTATATCTGAAATGACCAGCCTCCCCCATAATTCAAAAGTTAAATCATTGTCCTCAGAGCAAGGGGACAGGCAATGCCTTCTGGGCCACACGTCGGCCATTTTGTACTTTTTGGTCAGAGACAACTTGCCACCAAAAACTTGATTAGCTGTACCGCAGGCAGCCCTATAACGAAGTGTCATTAGTGTTAAATCCAAATAAACCCTCACCTCTGTGCATAACTCGTCGTGAATGCATGTGTGCTAGAGCAGCAGTAAGTTGTACAAAATATTTCCTGCAAAAAAAACACTTCTTTTTTCACTCATTTTTTTTTTACCAAGTGAATTTAAGTCTTACTTTATAGATTTTTTTTCACCCCAATGATCAGTTTCTGTTGGCTTCTAATGCAAACTGGAGTTTTAGCTTTAACCTCTCATACATGTAAGCTTACTAAAGTGTTAAGTCCCCTCGAGCTCACCACTTCTCTTTTTCTTTTCTTATCTTATATTTTTTGGTATTTCTATTATATTTATGGTGTAGCAAATAAATAAACTTATGAATAAAAGTTATTGAAAAAAGTTATTAAAAGGGTAAAATGATTTTAACTTTTTTAATAAACATATCTACAGACTACCATTATGCCTACCAAACAGTTCTCTCTGGAATTAATCTGTTCTGTTTCTTAAAATGCTGTTGGAACAAAAAAATATATTATTAACAAATAACCCTCCGGCAGAAATTAACTTATTAATAGCAGTGGAGAGACAATGGTCAGCTGAGCTATAAGACAAAACAGAAAAATTTCAAAGCGGATTTACATGTAGATTTTCATCTAAGTCTTGCAGCTATAACAGTCAACCTTCACCTTGTAATGCATCGGTCAATTCCAGCTGCGCCCAGCCCCCTGCGGCTGACCTCCGCGCATTAGCATTAATTCTTTGCCTTGGATGGCAAATTCCCGGGGGTGGGGACTCTTGAGCTGTCGAATCCCCCAGGATGGAGATGAAAAAAGAGGGCAAATGCCTGTCCTCCATCAATACTGCAACATTTTTTATTGATCGCACAGTCGAGTGGTGCTATTTTAAGCATTTTTTTGGGGCACAGCTGGAATTAACTGATGCATAAACATCTCACTATTATGGAAACCCCAATAATATCGACAGTGCTAAATCCCTACCAATATTAATAGAAACTTAGTCTGTAAAATACAGCCATCACTCCTTGCTGCTATAGAGACATTTTGCAATATTCGGCACCCAACGCTCCATAGTGATGCCATTGCTTTTATAGTGTAATAAAAAATAGCATACCTTTATCATTCTGGATAAATCACCTGCATCAGCCAACTCTAATATAATGTTAAGCTGTTAGAAGAAGAAAAAAAAGGAACAGAATTGATTACTATAATGCTCACTACAGCAATTCAGGGCTGTCATTAAGGGCTGGGGATTAGGGATTTCCCCAGGTTACTATGAATGTGGCCCCTGACTACTTTCATAGGAAAATAGAAGAAAAATAGAACCAAAAAAAATCCGTAACTGTTTTATTCCCTGCTTAATTGTTCCATTTACCCGGCAACTTGAAATCTTAGTGACATCCCTGCAACTGTAAAATTAACAATCGGAAACCTAAGTTTTACTTGAATTTCAACAGTATTGATTTATATCTTATATACAGTAGCCCACCTCATTATTTTCAATAAAAGATGCCAAATACTTGATCACATTGGGATGATTGAGTTGCTGAAGAAACAAAACAAAAGGAATATTATTTAACAATTATACCTTGAGCCCATGGGCTATTGACTCAGAGGCCATGAGGGCAAGAGGAATAATATTTATTATTATTGTTTTAGTAAAATCCAACTAGTTGGTCAAAATATCGGGAATAAAAATTTTTTAGCTAGTTTAAAGCTAGACTTTAATCCTTTTTTGCCCCAAAAAATCAAGTGCTTTTCGCTACTAGGGGGCTATAACATATAGCCTAGTAGTAGCTCAACCAATCAGAATGCAGCATTCATAATAGACCACTAGTTGGATTTTGATTTTACTAAAAAATTAATAGCCTTAGCCCAGGCCAAAAGTGAAGCTCTCGTGGGATCTTTTAACAAAAGTCTTTCTGACATAATTTAGCTTTGGCCATAAGAAAGAAAAAATGGTCGTGAGCCTGCGAAAAAAGGAACTTGAGCCTGCAATTAACTGAAAAACAATAACAGGTCAGCCGAGAACTTAAAAAACATCAGCTCAACGCACTGAATGCCTGAACCTGTGATACAGTCATGTGACACTGCTCAACACGTACCCTGTTAATATTATTGACTACAACACAGATTTCTAATATCGAGTTAAAACAGATCACATATACCTTGGACACCGAGCAAGTAAATGTGATATTTCACATCCTCTAACAAGAGCAGGTAGACATGCGGATGGACAATTTTTAAAAAAAAACTTCTTGGATGCATATCGTTGATTCAGACTTCTCTCTTGGGGATTTGTCACAGAAATTCAGGCTACTGTTACACTACATGCACAAACAACATTAATGATATAAATTTCTTGGAAACTGTTCATGGCGCACCTTAAGTAAATCAATTTCCTTTAAGCAATCTTGTCTGGCTTTATGATCCATCATTTCAAAAATCTAGGACAGGAAGGATAAATCAACATGAAAAACATGAAAAATGTAGTTTTATCGTAAGATTGACAGGTGGCACTGTTTATGCCTGTTTTAAAATAATTTCCACAGCCCGTGACCACATGTGGTATACACAAACACTGAATTCAGTAATCATGCAAGTATTGGTAACTGTCAAATTAGCCACCACAGGACAAAGTACTTCACTATTGAATCAATTAACACATCCGATATTTCAGTGACCAATAAAATCTACTTCCTGCAAGCATCAGCTTATCATTTCGTAAAATTGCAGAGCAAAAAAATTATTTATAGAAGAAAAAACTTCTAGCTCATAAAACATGCAAATGTTGAAGAGTTGTTTCCAATTTTTTAGGCAAACACAAATGACACCTGCCGCTGTAACTATATTTAGGTCCTTGAGGTTGTTTTGTGAGATCTCACTTCACATCAAGATGTTTTATTATGTTGGAGAAAATTTTTTTTTAAACCTTTTGCAACAAAATTTTTCTCTCCCTGGGCGCATTTAAAGCTTAAGACATATTTAAAAACTTGCAGAACGCCGACCGTTTGAGACCAATTTTTTTATTTCTTTCTACTAGTTTGGAAGATGTGAGATAACTCAATATTTGAGCAAAGTCAACTGGACTGTGAAAATACATTTTCTGAAAATTCTTGCGTAACTAGAGTAACATCAAGGAGGAAAATTCGAACCAGCCATGAGCTGTATTTAGAAGAAAGCATTAAATAGTTATTGATCATCAAAACTAAAATTTACCTGGACTTTTTTCAATGCCACTATTGAATTATCCGCAACACAACGAGCCTTGTAAACCACGCTAAACTGTCCGCGACCAATTTTCTTCTCGATTTCGAAGTTTGTCAGGGTTCCATATGGCCCACTGTTTGATTCATCCATTGCAGCCATTTTATTTAGTTTTCGTTTTATACACTCGCTTCCCTGTAAAGAGATTTATAGTCTTTTCACTTCTCCGTTGCCTGTGAGTAAGGAGAAGTCGTCTTTTAATTTCCAAACAATGGCTACCCTCAAAAGTATAGCCCTACAGAGAAAACGGAAGACTTCACTCAGTCATTGTTATAAGCTTACCGACATGGGTGACGCACTGTCAAAACATGGCTCTCAGCATAACCCTTTCCTAGGATCACTTCGATAAGATATTTTAATGTAAAATCTCGTTAGTAAGACTGCTTACTTCTTTAATAAAACCATACCCAATCACTTCTGCATAAATTTGCATTTGTGTAGCTTGCATGCACCTCACTCGCAGCAAAAATAAATAAGCTTAACTTCTCGTGGAGACAAACACTTGGAATTATGAAAGGCAGCTAGTCGCGACAACCAAAAGCTATAGCTTGTAAGGAGCTTAACGGCATGGTATATATATAAAGCTAAAACTTATAACGTCTAGCAGTCGTTCCTCGACAAACATGAACGTCCAAAGCAATTTTTACACTGCTGAAGACCACTTCACGAAAATTCGATCCACATTAAAAAATGGTATCGAAACATCATGAGGCATAAGCTTATTTCACAATCAGTATAATAAATTCAGCACACGATAACCTTTGAATCAACGATTCCTGATTAATCGTTAAGAAAACAATGCGAAAGCGACGCATATCTTGGGTGACACAAAGCGATTTGTTTACAAAATTATAAACTAACCAAATCGCAAACTAAAAGCTAATAAACGAAAGTGTTTTAAAGTTTTTTCGCGATGTCCTGACTTACCAAAATTCTGCCACTGCTACGAACTCAGCATTTCTACCTGAAATCTAAACTTTACTGAAGGTGAAGGTAGTGGACGAAGAAGAAACAACGACGGCACCGGATATTTCTGCAAATGTAACTTTGAAGGAAGGAAGTCCATGATTCAATTCGCGGGGAGTCCGCTAATCAAAGGCATCGCGGATCGCGCATCTGATCGCGCATTCCGCATTTGAACTGGGCTGCCTACGGCGGTCCAGTTTACAAAAAGTCTTCGATTTTCTCCCGCGGAGAGGGAGGGATATTCCTGGGAATTCGTGGTGGGGACAGTGCCGTCAGGCTCTCCAAATCCTGACCTTATTTCAGACCAATGCCTATAAGACAAATGTAAGGGAGTATCCCCCGGGGATTTTCTCCGTCAAAAATATTAACTTGACCTGATCAATGAAGCATGTTTATCCATATTCGAAGAGTCGGTTGTTTCTGTTACATGCACCACACGCTTTTTTCGAGGTCTAAAGTTCGGATTACGACAAGAACAGGAACTTTGAGAAGTTCATATCATAGCCCCTTGGCAAGAGCGCAAACAAGCGGCAAAGCTTCACCGGGAACTTCAAATACCAACCTACTAGTACAACGTTTGGTGACTCAGTATCCTAGAGCTTACAGTTGTTTTCAATTTGGCCGAGAGCTTTTGCTTTTGTTTGTTTCTGTATCATTAAATTTGTGCGTGATCGCCAATTCAAAAAGCACGATTGATGTTAGCATTCTGCTGTAGCATTAGCGAGTTTCGATAAACCTTGAAAGTTCACAGGTCGCATTAAGATGCATACATTTTTATGTACACAAGCCGTATTTTACGGGAAGTGTTCTGCATACATGCTGTAAATGTTAGGTCTGAAATGTCACATGTCCCCACCCCCTTAGCCTCCCACGCAAACGTTCTTAGGGGTTCGTCAAGCGTTCCTACCCCACTAGTTCAGTACGACAGGAACGCGTGACCAACCATCAAGAACGTCTGCGGGGGAGGCTACCACCCCCTAAGCCGTGCGGGGCGCGAGAGAGAAAGACGTCTAAAATGCCGTCCGGTGACGTCTTAACAAATTGACAGCCATGAGTCACCCAACAGTGAAAATCAGCATGCATATGGTACCGTCGATATGAAGTTTTCCGTGTTTTGAATTCCGTGAAACTTGACGATGAAGTCTCCAGAATAAATGTACTGGGTCGTTTAACTTTGAAATGAGTTTGAAATGAATTGTTGACAGGCTAAACACGACTCATAATTAAGGGACCGATCGTTTATTACGTCCCAAGGTGGGGGGGGGCGGGGGTTTTCAGAAAAGTGTGGTGTATCAAAACTTTACCCCACCTTCAAGATAATTACAGATGAAAATTGTAGCCCCTTGGCAATAATAATTTTTAAATGCAACTGCCCCCCCTCTCCAATTTCTTCTCGACCAAGTCCGTTTTTCTCTTCTTCCATCCTTGGACATTGATTTCATAGCGTGAGATAAAGAAAAATGCGGTAATTAGTTGTTTATTTTCCCATCTCTAGTGTTATCGTTGAGGTACAGTGTTAACGGAAAAAAACCCTTCAAACAGGTAAACTCTGTTATAATGCCATCAATATCAATTACGTCCTTAAGCTCATATACAGAATTGCAAGAGAGCCCAATCTCTAGTTTGTCGTGGTCCTTCGTAAAGGAGTGTGCAGTCTCTTCATACCGCTTAAGCTGGTGGTCAACTATGTATGTTGACACAGGATAAGTCAACAAAGTTATGGGAACTACATATACTGGGGGATAGAATTGGAGTTGGCTTGGTCAAATGTCTCAACCAAGGTCTGTGGCTTCACTCGGATCCATTTCACTTTGCTTAATCAGTTAAAGGATAAAGGAAATCCTAACACAAAAACACCAATATAATGTGAAATATTTATCCCGATAGAAAAAAATTCTATACATATTTTCCAGATTTCAGCTGTATGCATAGGCGTACCCTAGTAAAGGCACGTTACACACAGCGGTTATTACACCTGGTTTCCATATGATCGTCCCGATCGCCGCACTCAGTTGTTTCAAAAAAATTCGAGACGATCCGGACGACTGGGACGATTGGTAGTTATAGATTATCGTAGCTTGTTCCAGGCGTTCGGATAGTGGAGTGCGGTGCGAAGGAAGAGAGCGAGAAAAAAATAAGGAGGAAAAGAGGGAGAGGGGGAAAGGAGGTTTTTCGCTTTCACCCCTACCCCAGCCCCTCGTTGTTTTTTTTCCTGCTCACATCTCTTTGCGCGGTCCCCACGATCTGAACGCCTGGAACAAACTAAGATTATCGTCTATATTTGATCATCTCTACTCCCTGTATTGATGGGTTTCATAGTGGGTAAGGTTTTATTGTAGCCTCAGCCACCCTTTGGATTCGCCTTTCGGCGAGTATAAATTTTCATAAACCAGGTTTATACGGGAAACTTATAGGAAGCAAAAAATCAGCAAGTCATGAAGTTCCGAGAGAAATAAACACTGTTAAAAATTGAACCCAACATCTACCATTGGGTCTTTTTTACATCATTTTCTTTTTTCTCAAATCAGTCACTAAAAAGGCTGGATTACATCAACAGTAATAACATAACAAATTTCATAAAATATTACTAAATTAATTGTAATGCTATAATTTAATAGATAAAAATAGAAAAAAATCCCGTTTATAGGAAAAGAGCAAATTTTGAAAAACATGGCTGTGAAAACTCGGTTGCCATGGCAGTGTCAATGCTGACATACACGTCACGACGACTTCAAAATGTTTCCAGATAAATTTGTAGGAAAAGCTGATCAGTTTTGTGGTCATAGCTTAAATGGATTCGAAGTTATTCAATTTTCTTTGCGACAGGGGTTCCAAACACCACCCCCAGGTCTGAATACGGTTAAGGTGCATGTCACTTAATCGCGGCAGGATTATCTCAGTCGGTGGGGCGCTCAACTGCAGAGCAGGAGGTCGCGGTTTCGATTCCCGGGACCGGACCAATACTCAGGGTCTTAAAATAGCTGAAGAATGAAGGTGCTTCTTTTGCACTGCAAACGGCTGGACCTTTGCGTGGCTCGGATGGATACTTAACATATATATTTAGCGGTCGCGTCTCCACAAGGAGACGTAAAAATACTTCCGAGTTTCAAAACCCGCGCTTTCAAAATGAGGCCAAGTACACAACCCTTCTTGCGAAAATTAGTTTTATTTGCATGAGAATGAAAAATCATTTCCGTATCAAAGGCTGAGCACTTAACCTCGTTTTGATACAGAAGCTCGGGGGAACTCGGAAATAATAAAACAAAAGAGGAATTTGAAAGGCTGATTTTTACAGTCGGAAATATATATATATTTTTACCAACATTTCGGAAGGCAGGCCCAGCCTCGCGTCTTTTGTTTGATACTTTCACTTATTGCTGATTAGATCCTATATTAGTATCCGGTCCTTCTTTTTTGTAAGCTAGTCCTTGCTTCAGAAACCATCCCGTGGTAATCTTCTCACACAGTGACAATTATCTCTCTTCTATTTCAATTGCTTGCCCTTCCCAATGACTCCCCCACCCCCTCCTCCCAAAGCGTAGTCTCACTTTTCAGCGTAAGACAGAGTGAGATCTGGATACGAGATTACCCAAAGCCCTTTTAAACACAATGCCTTTCTCTCCAAAATATCTTCTACGATTAGCTCGCTTACACTTTCCACAGGCTTTCGTGCAGTGAGGGTGATAACATTTTTAAAATCCCCCAGAGTTTTGGGTTATGAAATTTTTCTTTGAAAAGCTTTTGGCCAGGTGACCTATGATGACAAATTCCCCACCATGCGAACTCATAAGTCAGATCTTTACCTTTGATTTTCTTTTTTGCACCGTATTTGCCCCGAGAAAATTTGATGTAAATCACGAATTTTTCGTTAAGTGTATAGTAAGAAAAGAAAGAGGATTTGCTCGCGATTCTGTGAAACATTACCGTTTTTGGTATGCGGTCAACACAAAGTGACAGAGCCTAACGTATGTGTTATAGCTAGAGGCGTCCGTATTTTAGAGGTTAGGTCTCAATAGTATCACTTTGTTAAAAAACCTAATCTCTTTTGTAGGCCGTTAAAGAGGAGTTCATCTTCATTCTAAATCTGTATATACTAGATAATAATGAACCAAGAGAAAGTATCTTTCCTTTGAAAGGAAAAACGCCTTAATTAATACTTAAAGAAAACT